AGTCATGTGATTAGAATTTGATTTTTTTGAAACTAAAATTACAAATAAAAATAATAGTTATGTTGACAATCTCCAATTGGGTGCAGGTCCTCCGCATCACACATCGTACTTCCGTTCCAATACAACAGATCGTGCCTGCACACCCAGAATAAATATAAAACAATCTAAAATCAAACTAGGTTAAATATGCAACTAACATCTAGTTTTTAATATAATAATAATATATATATTTTTTAACGTTGAGGTAAAACTTAAATTTCATATCTCCAAATTTATATGAAAAGTTATTTTTATAAAAATATATAATTTTACTATATTTGTCATCCTAAATTTATAAAAATTCAGTTAATAAAGACTATTATTTAATATGTCTGATTTGGGACTCAGTAATACTTACAATCTAAGCAAAAGTCTGCCGTCTTTGAGTGTGGGGTGAGGCTGCTCTGAAGAAACCTGAAAATTTAAGTTGTGGTTTCAAGTTAGATATTGTTTTGATCTTGCAAGCATAAAGTCATCATGAAGACAGAAGTGTAGAAGGGAATTAAACTTACAACTCTAGTGCCCAAAAGCAAGTTACATCTGCCACAATACGCATTTGTTACTGTGTTTGTGCCTTCCGTCCTATAACATTCTGGCCCATCTGTCCTCACATTCATCCTACATTGTAAGAAAAAAAAAATTATAATTATTATAAAAACCAATTAGTTGGACAATTATAATTCAACTTATAATTACGATATATAAAATAAATCTCTAAATAAAAAAATAAATTATAATTATAAATTTACAATATTACATAATATTATAATTATATTATTTTAAAATAATAACATGATTTTCTCTTACACATTCTCGAACCAGGCGTTTATTCCATTCTGCAAATTTGGAGAATATATATACATGTTAGAAAAGGAAGGAAGAATATGCTCTTTGAACTTTTAGAATATATAACCTAAAAGATAAAGATAAATACCTTAATTTTTTTTTTCTTTAGAAAACCAGAGAATTAAGGTACAAACATACATGAAAAAGAAAAAGAAAAAAGAAACAGGGAAGTTACTTTTACAGCGAAATCTTGACAACTAGCAATGTGGGTACAGCATTTACGGCAGACGTAGAAATAATGGATTGCAGCTTGATTGAATTCAATTAAACCTTTGTTCTTCGCATCTGGCTGCACCACTTGTGCATTACAGGTCATTTTCCCATTCCAGTACAACAGGCCTCGGTCTCTGATTATGATATTTTCAAAATCAAGTAATTAAGCAAAATTTTTTTTTAAAAAAATTCATTGTAATATTCGTTATATTTGATATGAAGAAATACTTACAAATGGAGAATAAATCTTCCTTCTTTGAAACCCTGGTTGGGTGTTTCTTTTGAAACTGAAATCTGAAATGAAATGTGTTTTCTTAACAACAATTTCATGGGTTGAATCTAATTCCAAAGAATGAAATTAAATTAAGCTAAAATAGTATAATTAATTACAATTTTAAAAATTTGAAAATAAAAAATTCATTATAATTTTTATAATATCAACATCATATTAAATAAATAAATACATATTTTATCATGCGTATCACTTCAAATTTTAAAAAAAATGACAATAAGAATCCCACTTTGTCAAAAAAATCAATTTTCACTTAATTACGTCTAAAAAGATTTTTGCAAATTTATTGCACAATAGTAATTTCCTAAATAGTTACATTCTATAATACAAATGTAAATCCAAAAACGTTAAAACATGATCTCAATGAAATAGACTTACAAATTTAAAGCCCAGAATCTTGTAACAGTTGAGACAATGAACATCCCCCAATATGCAACCATCCTTCTGCCGGCGATGTTTAGGGTCGTCGTTGACTCTCACGTTAAAACTGCATCATCGATCATATTTTATATAAAAGGAAAATATTCTAACATTGTAGGAACGACAAATCAAGTTGTAGAAAATTTGGCTCGCCCAAAAAAACGTGTATCTTGAAAATCTTACACTTTCCGAAACAATGCTGATTTAACATCCTGGAAATTCGATTTTTGGAAAAAAAAAAAAATTAAAGGGTTAGAATCACATCAATTGCTATAAACCAGTTTAAAAGTAGTTCGATATAGTAATTTGAAATTACCGAATAAAAATATTTAAATTATTAATAATAACCATTGTTAATTGTCAAATTCGATGAAATTACTATCTCATATTTCAAATTGTTATATGAGAGAAGAGATAAATAAATACTCTGGTGATGAAGTCTTGATCCCTAGCAATATGAGTATCGCAGGCGCACACATAGAAAGTAGACTCTGGAGGTTGATTGAATCTAAGGAGCGTCGCCATTGCAATCAATCAAATATATCTTTATTGATTGTTGTTGTTAAACATAAAAGAGAGAAAAGTATTAATATTTCTTCAATAAAGTAGAGTTTGAGTTTCTAATGCTCTACAAAATCATTAGTAGTTGTTTATAAGGAAATAAATATCTTTACAAATCAACTTTCACTTAACTATCTTCTTTTAATCATTTTTTTTAATAAAATAAATAATAATTTTTATCCGACTCAAAACCCAGAAATTAACCTGACCTTGGGCCGTTTTTCTCTAATTTTTTTAGCCCAGCCGTTGAGCCCAAAAGGTGTCGCCTTTGGTAATATGAAACTATGAATTATATGTAGTGTTTGAGTTGCTTTCTTTCTCTTTTTTTCACATAATATTTTATAAATATATATATATTTTAAACAATTTATAATTATTTACATGATTAATTGAGAAAAAAAGAAAAGAAATTTCGTGAAATTCAAACGTGTAACCCAAAAAAGTAACCAATCCTAACTCAAAGTTCCAAAGTTCGATGTCAAGGCTGGGCTGAAGCGGACCGTTCTAATATTTTATAAATATATTAAGTTATTTCAATTAACATTTTATTTTATATAATTTATGAATCATATTAATGTATAAA